GGAGGGATTTTTGTTGTTGTTGTTAAATAAATGTTTCTATTGTACCCTGCAATTTTGCACACTAATTTCACATTTTCTAGCTGACAAAAATAGTATAAAATAAACTAAATTAAAAAACTTTATGGAGTGTGCACCAAGAAACATTCAGGATTATGGAACTCTTAATTGCTCATAGGACAATTACTAAACCAGGTAGATTAAGAATTTTCAGTTTTGCTGGTACAGCAGATTATACTGTATTTTGAATTTTGCTGGCAATTCACATGCATGGTACATTTGTGCACATGGGGATGTATCTGTGCAATAGCTTTGTTATTTTGCTCTTACCTATTCTCTGTATGATTGTATACAGGCTTTAGGGCTCTAAAGTCACTTGTCCATAGTAAGTGTGTAATGTTTGTTTAAAGGAATGGAGGAATCTGAAGCAAAAGAGAGATGAGAATTATCAGAAGGTGATGTGTTGCTTAGTCCACCGTTACCTGACTTCCATGAGACAGAAGATGCAAAGCACGGATCAGGCAACTGTAGAAAACCTAAATGAACTACGGCAAGACTTATCAAAATTCCGAAACGAAATGAGAGACCTGCTTGGCTTTCGAACTTCTAAATATGCGATGTTTTATCCAAGAAACTAAGGCCTAACTTTTAAATGAAAAGTGTCTACTTTTAGGTACCTATAGGTGAAAGTGTTGACCTAATTCTGTTGTCAGACAAAATAGAAAAGAAGATTATTGCACAATATTACATTTGAAAAGGCGTTTGCATGAGTTAGATGCGGAAGTGGTGGAAATAAATGCAAAAACAGATACAGTAATTTTCTTAAGCTCTTAATCTTAGTGTGTATATAAAATTTGTACATAGGGATTTTTTTTAATGTTCCTCAGACTGTGGCTGTCAGGTGTCAGAGCTTCATAACTAGCACAATGTGTTTATTTCTTCTATTTTTGCTGTTTGTTCCTTTTTGATACTTATTTTTCAAGTTGTGGGAGAAGATGGGCTTTTTAAAACAGATATCCAGCCTATGTTTATTTTTAATAGAAAAGTCAGATATAGAATAATAGAAGATTTCCGGCGCAGTTGGAAATTGTGTTTGACTGTAGGTTACAGTGCATGCACAGACTGTACGGCTCCGAAAGGCAGTTGTAGTGCCAAGTTTTGTATGTTAACATGGACTGCATACTCACACTTATAGAGTGCAGAAAATCAAATCATCAAGACTCTTCCCTTTCGTGGGAACACTGCAATTTTGAACTCAAAGTAGATCAACTATTTCTCGAATGTTTATGGTTACATGTAAGACAATCAGTTCCTCCTTGGATTTTTCATCTGTGCCTCAAAAGTACATTTTACCATACGTGTTAAGATTGGGAACAGAATTTTAAAACTAACCCGTGAACTTGTAATGTTTAATATCTTGGGTTTTTTAAATCTGGATGATAAATGATTTGAATTATTAAAAGCTGCCACTTAACAAAAATGAGGTGGAGCACGTGAGTGCTATTGTTTGCAATCCTGAACAACCCTTGTGAAACACTCTACACTTCTTTCTGTGAGGACATACATTGTATCTGGTCATTGGACAAACGTAATTTAGAAGGGCCTGCTTTAGACAGGTTCTATATCTCCTACTTTTAAACTTGTCTTTCTTTTGTCCTCCTTTTAACACAGTTGTCACCATGCTAAACATTTTTTTGTGTGTGTGTCAGGAATACTATGTTTTGTGAAAACAACACGTAATTTGACTTTGCTTACAATGGACAGTAAGGGCTTTGTGGATTTTCTGTGCTAGAGGGTCCTATATGGCTTTATATGGTTATATATAATTCAAGTTGACAAATTGTAATTGAGAAATGTGAGATTCCTGTATTTTTAATTACAAAATAAGTATATTTATGACAGCTAAAGGATTGACTGACAATTTTACAGTTATGATGGTGCTCTTCTAAAACAGTCTTATGTCCAGAAGGCGCAGGTAGCCATAGTGGTCTTTGACTACAGCTGATTTTGGGAGGTTGATAGAGTGGAGGCTTACATGAATGTTTACTCTTTTGAAGGAATTCTTATAAAACTCTTTCTTGTAAAGGTAATATATTTTCTGTACTATAAAATTATGTATATCTGAACTAGGGTTTAATACTCTGCTTCCAGAAGTCTTACAGTACAGAGGTATTCTGATAAGTCTGTTGGCTTTTCTTGTGAATAAGAAACTAACCTCTTGTGTTCAAAGCAAAGAGCATCGCTGAATTTTGTATTTGGACTCAGATCTCATGTTTGAATAAAACACCAACATAAGAACTGTGTGCTGTGTATGTTATGTATATCCAAGAAAGGAAGCAGACAATAAAAGCTCGTTTAAAAATATGGTTGTATTAATATTAGTCATATTTGAAACACATCACATCAGGTATGTACACAGTAAATCATTATATATATTGAAAGTAATTTCTTTGTCATATTAAGATAATAAGTTTAAGGAAGGTAGCTTCTTTCCTTGTGGAACCATCCTGTTAAGTTCATTTAAATGGCTTCTTGCATTGCCATGAAGTGACACCTGAGCTAGTTCCAAACAAGCTGGTTTGATGCTGGATGCAGTGTTAGCTGCTTGGCAGTCGGCTCAAGCTGGTTAGTTCTTCTAGGAAGCTGTGTGTGTTTATTTGGACGAAGCAGGATGCCAGTGTTGCTTTTTCTAATGGCTTTCAGTATGTTAAGCAGAGTCACACAGAGCTAGCTCGGGCGTTGTCATGTGGCACTGTGTTCTACTACAGTGTATGTGTGTCCTTAGGAAGAACTGTCTTATATCAAAGAACTTTTGGGGGTTTTGGATTGAAGCTGGTGGTTGCAGAGTCTTTTTTTGTCCCTGACATATCTATGTGTGAAGTGATAGATACCAGCAAGAGAGCTTTGTTCTCTCTAGTACCTTAGTAGTCGTATGACACTTTTCATCTCTGCCTTGTTTGAAAGCTGATGCTTGGCTACTTGGCTACTCATCAATACAGAGTGCTTGGTGCTATTTGTTTGATCTTGTCACAGCATTTAGATTTTCCTAGTGCACATGTATTAAACATGCTGTTGCTTTATCATTTGGCAATGTAATGCTGGCTGTTCCAGAAGCAGCCTGCAGATGTTAGGGCTCCAAGAGCTCCCTTAGGCACACTCACAGAACAGTGCGCTTAGGTGTCTGTGATACTTGTTTAAACTGGGATGTCAAAAGAAATAAAAGGTTGGAGAAGCTGGAGTTTACTTGGCTTTTGGATTCAGTATGTCTTTGAGACTATTGAAATACGGTGATTTCTTTCCTTTCATGTTAATATTTGTTTTGTCTTAGAGCTAACTTTGCCTCGATGAATGAAAAATAGAGATGGAAATTTTCACGTTACCTCCATTTGCAGCAGAGCAGTCAAAACTATTAATTCTGAAAGTCAGCTTACTTTATGCTCTTGCTAAACTACAGTTTTGATTATTATTTACGTTGAAATGATTTCAGAAAATTGTATTGTGATTAGATCATTTTTATTCTCTTTGGTTGCAGGGTGGATTTTAAATGTTTGCAGTCACTACATCTGCTTTTAAAAACTGGTAATAGTTGTTACCTGTGTTTTGTAACTGATTCTCACTTGGCCACTTTAAGTCCTGGCTCCTGTTCCCTGTTGCAAGGCTACTGCTGCCAGTGCTTTAATTTGCAAAGAAACTGGTCTAAAGGGAATGTTGAGCAGGCAGGAGCTTTGCCTACCTACCATTTGGGAGAGGAAGAGCAGGCTGCCAGACTCTTCTTGCCTCACTGAAAAATGTTGCGTGACAGATCGTTATGTCATCATAAATAAAAATAGATTAATTGTAGTTCAGGACAGTTCTGAGCATGATTTCCACACTGCTTCTCCCCAGGTTGCTGCTGAGAAATGCAGAGAGCACCGTGCGTAAAACCCCCCAATCTGCGTAGGAATCAATATGGAAAATTAAAATGACAATTTAAAAAATATAAAATTGCAACATTACATCTGCTTTGCAAACAATGTTGCTGTCGTTTCCTTAGAGAAATGGTTTGGTTCAGTCAGTAAAGCGACGGCCCAGCAATCTGTGCAGTGTGGTTACAGCACTGAGCTGTGGGATGTGAGCTGCCAGCACAGCCTTTATGTACCTTTGTGCCTCCTGCTGATCCCTTTGTCTCCTGCCTTCCTGCCCCCCGAGTCTGGGGAACAGACGCTGCCGAGCTGCTCTGTGGCAGCACTGCTTGGCTTTGTCTACGAGAATCAATAGCTGAGGAAGAATGGCAATCCATGTTCCCTACTGAAATAAGCAATAAGGACTGTGTATTTCATCACAGTTTCCTGCCCGTGGTTACAGATTATCAAAAGAACTCTGCTGCGGTATTTATATATGAGGAAAACAAGCACTGAAAGGGATCTTTGATTTTGTTCCATCTATGTCATTTTTACTAGTAATCAAGTTTTACCTAATTTGAAAAGCATGTATTTCATATCTGCTTTTGACCAAAATGTTCTTCAACTTCTCCGTATTAATCTTTATGCATAATCTGTTTCTGTTCCTCCATCTTTGGTGACAGCTTTTCAGCTTCAGAGTAAGAAATAACTGTACAACAGACAGACCTGACAAAGGTCTCTCAGCATTAGAGCACTGCCTGGCTGCTTCCAGTCTCTTCCTTCCCTTACTCTCCAAATACCTACGTGTTCAACCTTTTGCACGCAGGAATGAAATAAATGAGACAGGCTACTATTTACACAATTGGTGCCAGGCTGAGCATTGCTGTATTGTCTGTCCTTTCACAGTAGAAACAAAAATTTAAACTATTCGCATGTGTACTTTACCACCACTAAATTAATTCTTACCTTCCTCCCTAATTACCTTACGGAACGTAATAGTGACATTTACTAACTAGAATATAGTCATCAGCAGAAAAAAGCACGGTGCAGTTTTGTAGTTGTCTAATTCTTTGAAGAGTAAATCCGGTTCCTGTTCAAATCAATGATTCACTGACTTCAGTGGAAGGAAAATCAGGCTTTTAATCAGCAAGGACGTGTCAGTCATACTGTGCAAGACCCAAACCATCAAAAGCATGTAAATGATCAAAAACCCCAGTTTCTATGTTTAGCCTGCCCCACTTCATACATAATGAATAACTAGTTGGTGTATGATTTAATCTTAAAATACTTTATTAAGCACAGATAATAATGCAGAAATCCATGTAATAAAAAACTTTAGAGAAAAAGCTACGTTAAAATGAGTTACTATAAATATTGCACTTAGAATTCTTATTTTACATACACAACTCCTTAAAAAATTGGACAATTATAAATTAACAGATTCCAAGTAATTGGAATTTTGGTACGTTTGAGATCAGATGGCTGTGCTGCAAATCTTTGGCTTTAAGACTTAGGAGGGTCTGTTCTTATCGTGGTAGGTACATGGGATGGGTACCACTTTGTGCCAGGGCGTGCTTAGGTGGGTGGGAGGGAAGAACGGGTGAGCGTGGTCTTAATGTTGACAGTCAGTTGTATTTTTCATGACTTATACTAAGTGAAAATTATTTTTCAAGAGAGATGATAGAATGCAGCTGCAGAGTTTAGTTTTAACATGTTTTGTTTTTCAAGGCATTTAGGACCTTTGAGTTCTTAGTCTTAAAACTCATGACAAAGCTGTTGGGAAAGACTTTGCCTCTACCGTCTTCTTCTGCCTGGCCCATGATGATGTAGTTTAAACCTACAAAGGAGAGATACCATTACAAGACGGAAACCCGGGTCGTAATTTGGTAAGTATCGTTCTTTATTTGTGGTCTCTATTTGTTTGTGCTCTGTTATCAATGCCTTCTTATGTTTTTTTCCTTCCTATCTAAAGCGTGTAATTCCTTACCCACCTTTGTGTGCTTGTTACACAGTAAAGTACAGTTACATAAAAATTGCGTAGATACATAGCTAAGCGTCTACTACATCATTAAATACATAGGAGATATTAATTAAATGTAGACTGTCATTTAAATGAGTCTGAAAGACATTAGAAACATAGTATAAACACTGGATAACTTAGCAACTAACACCCAAAGTGGAACGTGTCTCATTCATTTTGGATATTTTCTCATTTGCTCAGCTTGTAGGATAATGCACTTAAGGGATAATGCACTTGAGTCTTTTCATTCCTTGGCTTTGGAGAAATCGAATGGATTTGCATGTTTTTATGGCTTAGAAGGGTTAGGGGTTTGCAAGGGCTTAGGCTGGAAGGAGTGGCATTATTCAGGTATAAGCAGAAAAGTTTGGATATTAAGTAATGGCTATTCAATAATTCACGGCGATTTAGGAGGAACACAAGTGTGTGGCTTGGAGCCAGCAGGATTGTCTGCCTAAAAGGCCAAAAAACTGTTCAACCAAGGCTGCTGTTAGGCCTTTCAGACAGATGTCTAGTTTCCAGAGAACTAAAGGTAAAAGGAAAAGCTTGTTTCTAACAGGGTCTTTACCCTTTGGTACTGCCCACTTTGAGTTAATATGCTTAAACACCAATAGTATCCTGAATGTTATCATGGTGGGTTTTTTTTTTAATGCTTATTAAATTATTTTGACTGATTTCCTGCTATGGTTCCATTTATGTTCTCCTCTTCTACATGTTTACTCAGGAAGCAGAGCTAAAAACTCTTATTTTTTAGTTAGTTACTTAAAAAACAAAGTCACAGTATTTCTTGTAACACCATATAGGTAGCCCTTGTTAGATTTAACTGGAAATTATCTTCCTTGCTGAACTCTGTATAATAGTTTAAGATGCCTATAGAAGTACTGGCTGTTTGCAGATACAGATTTGGCTTAATACTACTAGTACTTCTACGGTAAAGATGTAAATATATATAGGAGAGAAGCAACAGGTACACGTTGAGTTTTGGCATTTGCTGTGACCTACTGCTCTTCTAGGTTTAGCATGCTGTTGGTTTTCCCTTCTAAATCATTGTGTATGCAAACTAGCTCCAAAATACATACATGCAAAACCAAAATCTAACTGAGCTTCATTTGAGAGAACCAAATCAGATTTTACTGTATATCACATGGGTTTGAAAAAAAAAGAGAAGTTTTTCAAACTCTTGCTTTAAGTGAGTCTAATCCATTTTAAGTAAAACTGAAAAATGCAATATAAACCCTGATAACTTGTCACTTTTATCTTAAATTGATTATATTAGTTGCTGATTACAGAAAAATTACTGCAATTTTACATATTTTTTTTGATATTTCAAATAGTTTTCAAAACAGTTGTATTTTATAAAAACACAAAGCAGTTACTTTTGTGTACTTACCTCTTCTGATGAGAGGACACTGCTTACATACAACAATAATCTTGGCACTCATACTCTTGCCAGCTTGTTGAATTGCTAAATTTCCTTCCTTATATACATTAATGATTGATATTGTTGCATGCAGACTGCCAGCCCGCGCTATTGCTGTGATTACAGTTCCAGTTATTACTATAAGAAAAGACATTTCATAAATTTCATACATTTTTATTATTTTTTAGACATAAATTTTGAGGCATCATAAAAACTGAGTAAGTATATTAGTCTATAACAAAGAACCAAACTGGACATAAATAAACAAACAATACTGGACGTAGTTACTAAAAATGTGGGTATCACCTGTAATAGACAACTCACTACTGATAAATTTTTGTGGCACCAAATATAAAACTTTCCTAGAATGTGTCAGTCTCTTGCAAGCCCAGTTCTAGGTTTTGATAATTGAAATTAAACAGTACAATTTGATACTACTTTAAATGACTAATGAAAATAAAGATACCTTTTCTTTTTCCATTGGATGACTAGGTTAACTTGTAGGCCACATTTATTAAAAGGGAATGGTAAATGTTACTAGCAATTTTTTTCTTCTCAAATCACCTTTTGTAAATAAGATATTCTACCCTAGGATCAATTATATCTTCAGTTATCAAGATTTATTTTATAAATCTGCATAATCCACATTTTGGGTCCAGCATTTGTAAATTTATGCATTGTCTTCCTTTAATCAAGAACTTTAAATTAAACAGGAATGTTCAAGTTCAAGCAAAAGAGAACTGTGGATGTTAAAATGCTGGGCATTGCAGTTGTATTTCTAGAAACAACAAAAATTAAATACATGATGAAATAGTTCTTCTTGTCTAAATTCCTTATGTCAGCAAATAAACTTGGAATAAATTATATTCTACAAACAGCACACTTTCTGTTCTTACCTTAGGATACACTTGCATTCACATTAGCATATAAAATATTGTTACTCTTACTCTTGCCATGGAAATGACTGAAAAAATTCAAGTATTTGACAAAAGGTAAGAGTGAATGTGATTTAATATCCTGATGCTAGAGGGAAAAGAACAAGTTTTATTTCAAGCCGTTTACGGTCAACCACAAGAGCTGAGGTGTGGTCAGTAAAAGCCCGTTTTGGTGGTTTTTTCCTACCTGCTTTTTTTGGTCTTGGGCCAGCCTGTACTGCTTGCAAACTGAAACAGGCTGGTGTCAAGAGTGGTGAGGGGTCACGCTGCAGTGACTCCATTCTGCTGTAGGGTACAGCCACAGCCCTCAACTGTTTTTCTAGTGAAATGATGCAAAGCTGCCCCTGCTTTCCTGAAACAGCAGATTTCCTCTTATCTCATGGGATTAGCTATAAAATTAGTTAGATTAAAACAAGCAAACAAACAAGAAGTGGTTGGGGCAGGGAGGGAAGCTGCCCCATCAATTTTTTAGGCATGTTATGTAGGGGATTAAAAATGCTTCCAGTATTAATATGAGAAAATACTCAGACATAACTGAATAAATCAGCAGTGACAATGCCATCCAAATATACAGCAAACACCATTTTTCCTGAGTGATTTGTGTCTGTGTACAGAAAGCAGTGCTTGTAAGCTTCTTGCCTTCTCCACTTCTTTTCAAAATTATTTTGGAAGTCAGTAAACTGCACTGTGGAACAGTCAGCAGGTAGAGTAGAACGCGTGTATTGGCTGGTTAAACAGATGACATTCCAGTAATTGACTCAATACTTCCCTGTAAGAGGTTGTCTTACATTGGCATTTGCTTTTCAGATCGAGAAAGTATGTTTATTTCAGACATAGGTGCAGTGCCAGTTTCAGAATATCTCCAAGAATGTAGTGAGTAAAACACAGATAGTAATGTCAGCTACACACATAAAATGGTCTAAAAATACGGCCTGTATATTAATGATAACTCAGAACTACATCTGGTAAAATTCCTACGAGTCTAAAAACACAGTGCCAAGTGAATAATTAAAAATAAACAAACTTTGCTTCCTTACCAAAGTTGCTTGAACAATAATTGCTTTCGAGAGTCCCACTCCTCTTACATTTCTGCTGGCACAGGGCAACTGTTGGTTTCACAACTTTTTTGAAGAGAAAGAAGTAAATTGAAATGAGGTATTTGATACAAATGCAAAGCAGTACGCTTAAAAAAAAGATGATGATATATATTAAGTAGATGTGGTTTTGCAAGGGATGAACACCACAATAACAATATTCCTTTACTCTGCCATCACCTTCAATTACCTTCTTTTCACCTGTGTCTCAGTTACGTATCTTATAGAATGGGATGTTACAGAAAATTTACATTTGATTGCAGTGTGATCCTACATATTTAACTTATTTAGCATTGTTGCCTGTTACCTTACAGCCTTAGTAGTACACTTGAAGTACCATAACCTTATATTACAGTAACACTGCAGAGGGAGGGGCTGGCCTTTTATCTGAAATTACTGTACTGTGCTGCAAGAGATCAGAGTTCAAATTCCTGAAGTTTTTTTTTTTCTAAATTTTTCACATAGCTTCATGACATGTAGTACTGTATAATTTTTACTGATGACATTTTGCGTTTGAAGTATGTATTTAATATAAGGGGTTGACATTTCCTTTCTGAAATGGAATGCTTTGTTTATAAACAAGTGAATACACTTTGGGGGTTTTTTTTCACCTTGGGTGGATGTTAATAGTCTCTGTATTTTACTCAGCTCACCCTTTCTACATAGCATGTTGGGATGCAATATTTTTGAGGCTTTTATGTCTTTTCAAATTTGTTTGGAATTGGTCAATGACCTCATATTTGTTAGAAACATGGAGCTGAGATCAACGGAATAAAAAAAAACCAAACCCCTACATAACGCTAATTTCCAGGAAAAACTAATTAGTTATGAAGAACATCTTTGTGTTTTGGTGGTTGGTTTTTTTTAAACTTTCTTTAGAATGGAGCATTTTACAGAAGTTTTATCCAGCCTATACTTTCTGAAAAAGAACTGACTAATTTTCCAATCAGTAATTGACACTTGTAGTTCTATTTCAATTGAATGAATTGATTATTTTTTTGATTTTGCAAGTTTCTGAGGTTCAACTGAATGGCATTAAAATTACTTTGTCTTCAGTGTTACGTCCATGGCTGTTAGAAGATCTGCGTACACATTGAATCAAAAGTTTAAAAATTGGACCCCATATTTTTCACTGATTTGGGGTTGTTTCTTTTGTGTGGTTTTGGTTTATTTTTTTTTTCAGACTTCACATGACTGGATTTCACTGAGACTCTTTAGAAAGTTAAGTGCCACCTACAAAGAAAAGTAGTACTTGAAGAGCAAGTTACCATGTCTATGGAGGCCCACCTAGTCTTATTCTACATGATGTAGCCTCAGTCCTACAGTCAGATCTATATGGTCATAAGAGTGAAACTCCCACTGCCATCACTGCCACTGCCTTGATGTGTCTGCACCTAAAAATATTTTTAATTATATGCTGAGTTGCTTTTTATAAAGTGACTTCTTTGTAGAATACAATGTAGAAACAATACGCTATATTCAACTCCTAGAACTTTAAGCTAAATGATAATTTTTCAAATTATTAAATTACAGTTATCACTTGGGGTGTCATACCATTTAATTACTTCTCCTGTCTCACAGTGTCTGTTGCTAGGTCAGGCACATACCTCCTATCTCAATGCTACGTGCAGCACAACAAAACTTAAGAATTTAATGTTCCTTGAGTCTTTAACTCAGTGTCCGTAGTAGGAAGATAAGAAATGTAGCGGGTAGATGAGTCACAGGTGCATGCTGGTATGGTAGATACCAAAAATTTCTTGAGGTCCTCTGATTTTTCTAAATTTAAATTTTTTGTGTGTTACAAAATATTCTTGTTTGGTCCTCCCAGGGATTTTTGTGTGTGTGCTAACGCTTCCAAGTTTTACTTCTGAGTTTATTAAATTTTGGTTGGGGACTAACTTTGCTATGATTTGTCAGTGGAGGCTGCCTGTTTGTACAGACAAGTTAAGGTACAAATAAGGCCAAAATACAAATCGGAGAAGACCTGAATTCAATGTTTAGTTGCCTACCATTTTATGTGTAGCCATACTGACAGACAAATGCACAACTCGATCCAATGAAATGAGAAAATCAATTCCTTAACCATATATACTGGATTAATATTAATTAATTTTATTAATGTATTATATAACATTTATTCATTTCTTCAAGTACTGATATCTTTCTGTAAGATGGAGACTGAGGTAATTCATGGAAATGCCTACTAAAGTTAAATATTTTATTAATGCCTGGAGTTCTGTACAAGTTTGAACAGGTATGACTTGCAAGATAATAAGCTAAGTCTATTTGAACTGGACATTCTGAATGCAAATGATTGATCAGAAATTTAACTAAACTGTAGAGGTTTGATGTGCTTTGATTTGTTTTTAAGATCAGAAATGCCGAAACCATGCATAACTGATCAGACATTGAAAAGAATTCTTTTTTCTGTCTGCCTGACAAGTCCTTTTGAACACCTTCCCTCTGTTGTTCTCTCTCTTTGCGTTGTTTTTATTTTTTAACACTGTTGTCATAAAAATGTATTTGGAATTAATTAGTAAAGCACACACAAACAGCTCACAGAGCAAAACTCAATGGCAAAAACCTGAACACAAATCCAGCGTGAGATGTCAGACAGCCTGGATTAGTTGAGACCAAGTGTTTGAAGTAACAACTTTGTTAGGAAGTGCTTTACAATGAAGAAAAATTAATTATTTATTATTAGAGTAGCAGTCACATCAGAATGATTCACAAGTCATTATGATTTCATTTTTATAACGTTCATTTTCATCTATTTTAAATACCTTTCATTATCAGTATTTAAGCACCACAGCTGCTTGGTTTCCTGCTGACATGTCATTGCTGTCCTGACTTTTGATGTGTTTCAAGTACAAATCAGGTTATGTGTTGCAAAACCATCATAAATAATTTGGTTTCCTGTTATAACTGTATCTTAAATCTTTCTCATTCAGGTTATAGAAATTGTAAGAATTTATCCTTCAGTAATGAGGTATTTTTGGCAATACCTTCAGAGACATTCTCCTCTGATCTTTCATATATGTCTTAAATCTAAAAGGAAACTTATTTTTAGCGTGACACATTTCTTTAAGTTCTGATCACTGAATTTTTTAAAACAAAAATAATTCTAGGAGACTGTCATGTTGACGGGATCTGAAGAGGGCTCAGGTGGCTTCCATAGCAATTTTGTTTGATGTTAATAACTATATGCAGAAAAATACGGTCAGATTTTTACATATTAACTTGTATAGAAGAAAGAGTTCCTTTAAATAAAACTAGTTCCTGAAATAATTAGAACTTCACACACAAAAGAATTATGCTCATCCATTCTTCTCTGGAACTTGCTAGTTAACTGTCAAAAATTGAGAAGAGATGGGAAAATTCTCTCAGCAACTGGAGCAAGTTACTGTTACACTGAACTCTTGCCTGGAGAGATTTTCTTTCAATAATGTTAAGTAGATTCTCCCTTTAATGTATTAATTTTAATTAATTCCCTCAACATTTGAAATACTAACCATAAAACTGTAATTTTTAATATACTTCCTATTACATTTTTCTGTAATCCCCTCCTTGTCCTGGAATAAATTATTTTTCTAAGAAATAAAATGAAAGGCGGTAAAACTTACTTGAGGTAGCAGGGACTGTTGTAGTAGTAGGTGGAACTGTAGTTGTGGGTAACTTTTTTGGTCTAAATTTATAATGGCCAATAAAACCATCAGCTGTTAAGCTTAAATCAGACAAAAACTGAATGAGCAACTCATTTCTCTCAGACAGAATAGGCCTGAAATACAAAAAAGAATTAAAATATTTTCATTGTTTTGAATATCAAAGACAAAAAACATTAACAGTATTCTTCTTACAAAACAAGATAGTGTGCTTCACTTTAATTATTGGCCTGAATGCAGCATCTGTCCCCAGGCTAATACTGAAATACGTATTTCTTTACTGGTGTGTCAGACACTGGTGTTATGAAACTCATTCTGATGAACTGCTAAGCCTCTGATTCCTGAAGGTTATGTCAATATGAGTATCTTTAAATTCTTCTGCATTACTTCATTGCAGACTTTACTTCCATGGAATGGAAGGGGCTAGATTAACACCATGGGAAAATATATTCAAGAAATCCTCAGTATGTAGTGGAGGTAAGTAAAGGTTTTCTTAAATTTGTTTTTGTTTTAATGAAGAACATAATACGCATTTGGAATGCCTGAAGAAAATTAATTCAGTGCTGGATTCTGTAAGTCTTTGACAAAAACACTAAAAATAAAATGGTTTTGCTTATCATTTCTTTGTGTTTAGTTTTTTCAATGATTGAATATTCATTACCAAGGCCCTGAAGAGTGAATGGAGTCATTTTCTTAGGATCCGAAACGTCACGAACAAGCACTGTTCAGTGGATTATTGGTTTTCAGTTCTTAAACTGCATAGTACCTGCTGTGACAGTAACTGCCCCTGGAGGTGGATGCAGTGCCATGAGGCTTCATTCAAGACTACTGTCAGAACATCCCACAGAATGCAAGTCTAGCCGAAGCAGCGCTTCTCTCATTCCTTTGTTTTCCATGGAACTTGTCTCAATATTCATTAATAATTATTAACAAACCTTTTTCAAGCAAAACCACAGTTTTTGGAAAGAGAAAGAAAAATAAATATAGAGGCAAAAGCATCTTGGTGAGGAAAGAGGAAAACAGAAAGTGGTTTTAAGTTGCAGTTTTACTAAAATGACTGTGTTGTTTCTTCCCAGGCAGTCTGACAGAGCTCACGGGCAGGAGTTCTTCAAAACACTTGATCAGGCCTGTGAGGTAAAAACTTGTGATCGTCTCCCAGTTTTTTGGCAGGTGTTTCAGGAATCAGTTTGCTCTGATGGCCGAGTCCGACACAACCAAAAGTAAGTGCCTGGTTGCCTGGGATTCTGTAGGTACAGTGGTGACATGGGCTGTGGCTGCAGGAGGGCACTTGACTATCACCTGCCCCAGAGCTTTGCTCTGCTTCCTGAACACCAGGGCTACAACAGCAAATCTGAACTATCTGACCCGGTCTGGGTATCCTGTCTTTTTAAACAAGTCTTTTATCTGAGAGTAATTGCTTCTCCTAATAAATCGTGATTATTATGCATACCATTCATTTATCATAGTAATTGTATTTAAGAATCAAGTATGTAGTTAACACTGTAAGCTTGCTGGTCTGCAGTTGGATCTGAATTCATCTCTGCAACCACCAAATGAGTTCAAGTTCACTTTACTCATACTTCTGACACATACTGTTTCTGTTACAGAACACCACGTTACATTATCTGTATCTGCTGGTTAGCGAGTCCCACCTTGCATCGTTAGTGTCAGACACACAACTGGTACTCTTTATAGAAGGCTTGCTTCACAATTCAGTTTATACACCATGATTTCTTGTTCTTCTACAACACTGGTCTTGTCCTTAACTGTTTTTCTGAACCCAGCTGATAAATTTTGATGAGAATTCTGCAGAGCTAGTGGAAAATCCCAAAGAGCCATATTTTTCCCCTTTCACTGGATATATAAGCTGCCTATATACAGCTCTGCAAGGGAAAGTGACTGTGTTCAAGCTCTCTATCGGATCTCTGGTTCGGAAGCAATGCTAACCTAAAATTGGCTTTCAGGACACTTCTAACGTTCTGTAACAGGAAATCTCATCTCTAAGCTATGTGGCCTGGGTCCGAGCCCAGTCTTCTGCCATAATTCGCCTGTTGCACAAGGACCATACTAAAATATTTGTGTTTTGAAGCCCACTACGGTTTGGCAGACCAATTTACAGCTTTGACATGCTATGGGGATAGATGTTGAGCCACAGTTGAGAGGTGGTTTAGGAAACTACTGCTGGTTGCCTCTCTGGGACTAACTGGCACCTCTTCCTGTAGCACTGCTCTGTCAGCCAAGACAAGACCTTGACAGTGCAAAACGTACTTGCACAGCTGGGCTAGGTTTTAGCTGGAAAGAGGCAGCTAAGTCCCAGGGACTGGAGGCCACCAGCCTCATCTGTATGGGCTGGTGTTCACCGCTGCCTTCTGAGAACCAAGGGAAAGAGTTCATCTTGTGGAGTTCAGTTCTTACCTTAGCTGGAAAAGTTCTGAAATGTCACAATTTACAACTAGAGTCAAACTAGACTCTAATCATTAAGCTTCTGGCTTAACCTCTGGTCAACTCGGAAGCAAGTCCATTTGTTTCAGCCCTTTGGATCCAACTTGCACAAAACAAAACACTCTTGGCAGGAACTGAAAGTATTTATACAGAACATCGCTAGTTGAGTGTTTCTAATACAGGATTCTGTTAGTTTTATAGGATTTTTTTACAGTAGCTTAAAGGTAAATACCTTACTGTTCTGCAGGAACAGTTGAGTTGCAAGGGATGGATTTGCAAAGTCACAAGGAGGTTCTGATGCTATGCTCATCAATGGAATACCTGTCTACCTGGTGGTAAAGTTATTAAATCATGTAACTAACTGTTTACTTTATTAATTCTGCCTAGAGAGAGAAGTGTTTACTTTTTTTTACTCTAAGAGTAAAAACTCTTACTTTACTCCCAAAAGGAATATAATTCCTTTTGGGAGGGTGTGTTTACTTCAAATGATGGTGATCTTTTAACTAATATTTAACTAGTATATCCTTACACAATTCAGGTCAAAGAAACATATCACCCATTTGGAGATCATTCAGTCCATCTGCAGTCCCTCCAAGTGCCACAGCACTGAAAGGCAACAATTCATCATATTTTCTGGGTAAAACTAAGCTACAAAGTATGAAGCCACTTTGCTATGAATACATAGGTGAGGCAAAAATGGAAAAATTCTGAATGTCATTTGGCAAAGAGATGGAAGTGAATGTCTGAGATTTCTAACTTGCCTCCTTGTCTTGAGGACTCAGTACTAACTCTGCCTTGCAAAATCTCTACCTCAACGTCTTTGGGTTGGAGCTAATACAGAAAGATAGTTTACTTTCACTAGTCAAGTTTTTCCTGCAAAGAAGGAAGTGATTATGTATGTAACTGCAGCTAGAATTTAGCCTCTTGCATCATTTAGTGGCCTGAATCACCTAGCACTTAAAGAAGAATCTTACTTGTAAGACTCTATGTTGTATCTTTTTATAGAGCAGCTTTTTGAACTTTGCTACAAGAAGGGGGCCTGAAAAGAAATTAATGTAACCCTGAAAAGAAATGTCTTTACGAAGAAAGCTTCAAATAAAAAAAAAAAACAGAAATAAAGAAAAAAAAAGAAAAAGTGTAACTCCAGACTAAAAGCTTAAGGTGGCTTAAGGAAACTGAAGTTAATATTTTTCAGGTGGAACTTTACCCTTAACCAGATTCTTGCCAATTTTCGAATAAATTTCTGTAGGCCTCAGCTTACTCTGTTTCCTACACAGTCATGCTATTACCTAGCTGCTGCATGGAGAAGAAAAATCTTTAAAAAGACTCTTTTAAAAGAGCCCTACAGAATGTCTGCCTCCCCTCTTGTCTCCTGAGGGTATAGAACATAAACTTAAAAAAACCAACCAAACAAAAAGCACAAAAAACCCCTCACAGTAAATCTCAGTGTAGCAAGCTGTGCCTAGAAAGGCTGAGGCATCCACCTCCTCCCCCTGCACCACAATTCTTTGCTCTTGGGAATCAAACTAGCTGTAGCAGCCACTTCTGAAATGTAAGTCTAGTCACACACTTCCAGGATTTTTTTTTTTAATAGCTTGTATTTCTTGAAACGAAATGCATTTTCTTCATCTTCTAAAGCTGCTCAGCTTTAAGAAGCTTGATGGAAGAGGAACAATGGGAAAGGAGAGCTAAAAATTACTATCCTTGCCCACTTTTTAAGGAATAATTATAATCTATTGCTAGACCTGAACATATAGTTACAGTGCCATTTGCAGGGTTGGGGGTTGTTTTGGGGGGTCTGGGAGGCTTGGGATGGATTGATTTTGGGCGGATAGGAGAGTTGTGGGTTGGTGGGGAGGGGTGTGGAGGGGGTTTAGGGGCAGTAATTTGATAGCAAAGCTGGTGAAAGCCTGCTGTGCTCCCCAGCACGCACAGGAAAGCAGTCTGTGCCATGAGAGAACGTGCCTTGGCACAGATGGAAGTGATGGTGAGCAGCGATGCAAGGAGCAGCCAGGGAACCAGCAGAAGGGAAGTGGCTGAGAGGGAAATGAGTCAGATAAAGTGAATAATGAGCCAAGGGGCTAGAGAGTTCAGCTGGATCCTTGTACTTGAGTATCTATAATCAAAACATACATATTAAGTGATGTTAGTGTTCAGCTACCTTTAATATTGCTAGTATCCCAGTATCAGTAGCATTGGTGTTATTAGACAGTGATCTAATGAGGCTTGAGGGACAGAACACAGGCTGGAGCCAGGGCTAGTCATAGAGGGAGAGAGAAAAAGGAAAACCTAGGGAGAGACAAGATGCTAAGCAACTACTGGAAGTTCAACTGGACGTACAAAATATCATATTTAACTTTAAAAAAAAAGAATAAAAATCTTTCAGAAGCCTAGTACAGAACTGTTAGCAAAATGACACATAATGGTAGTGAAGTTCATAATTCAAGAAAGTTACTTACGCTGGTGGACTGTCTCCGCAGTACTTCCCAATTCTTTTAGCATCATTGATTTCCCCACCATTAAACACTGCAACATAGTCGTATCTGCAGTAGTTGTCTCTCTCCACATCAAACTTCTCAAACTTTAACTCTATTAGCTGCAGGAAAAGTGTAAATAACTCATTAAGTTTTGATATGCAGAATTTATTAGTGCTTCTTATCGCAAGTGATGTCTTTGTATGAAGTACTAATTTATTTTTCTTTCCATAAGGGAAAAGTCCATAATCCACTTAATTGTGGGGTAAAGTATTTTAATCCACATGACTTCACTCCAACGAAATGTTCAACATAAGACTCTAATATTCTATAAAACATTTTGTTCTCAAATCTATGCAAAAAACTTCTGATAAAGTTATTTTTACAGGTGAGTGAAAACAGGATACTAATTGTTAGGTGTTATGCTGCATTTAAAATAACTGAACAACCAAATAAACCAATCACAGAAAAGGGGCTTTTAGCATAATTGTATCATTCAAGATGTACTAAAGATCAAGCAAGGGTAAAAAAAGTTGGTAAGAGCCATTTCACTGACTTCATTAAGAGCAGGGTTTGAATCACTATGATTGCCAGTGCTGTTTACTTGATGCAGAAATAAAAAGGTCAGAAACAAAAGTATTGATAGACAGAAAATTAGTAAATAGTAAGACTAAAACCAAGAGAAAGTAAGTAATTAAAGAAATGCGTTTCCATACACGATTTTCATAAATGTCAGGGCTTTACAAGTCATAAGTGAGAACTAGTATGCAGGTGGTATTTCCAGTACTGTTGCTGTTATCTCCAGTATTACTTTTATTTATGGACTTGTCTGCTTAGGAAAGAAAAACAAGACAAGAAAACAGAAATGGAATTTATGACTCTGAAACGAAGCCCTGCGGTATGACTCTGCCAATTGTGTGTAGCAAGGAAGGAAAACATAACTACACAATTGAAACAGAGGTAATATCTGCATTTCAGTTGCTTCTTTATATGAAGCACAACAGTATTTAAATCAGCTTCCCATAAATAACACAAATGAGGCTCGAATGACAGCAATTAATTGTGTTGACTGTAGATATGCAGGGCTTCTCTTTAAAGGTCTGTCTCAAACAAATCTTTTAAGACTGCACAAAGAAAAAGGAGTAATTTTTACTTCACATACACTTTATTTAATTTACTGCCACAATAAAAATAAATAATCTTGTTCTACATTCATAGTAATGATAGCCTGTTATCACCTGATGTCTTAGTTTTGCCTGGATATGCTTTTGCACTATTCAGACATGTAAAGCATCATTTTGTTTCCCATAAAGTTGAATAACCTAGGGGGACTTGGTTTCAGATGACAGTAACAGGCTTGTTTCAAAAGCCTTGTTGTCATGAAGAAAAAAATGCACTTTAAGTGGAAGTACCCATCTGAGTAATACACTTGTGATCAAAAAAGATGGTACAGAAAGAAGAAATGCAACTGGGAGCAGAAATACTAAGTTTTCCATGTGCAGGCAAAACAGCAGGCCATAATATCTACTTTACTATTGTTCGTAAGTGCACTTTGCATTAATAAAGAAGTATTTAATGATAGAATAGAAGCTCTTTACCATCCTGAGAAGCTCCTCCATCTTCTGTAATAAATGAAGTAATTATTGGTTTGCATTAGAAGGAAAAGAGTGCCTTCTTTTATCACTCACATGCTTGTGAAAGGGAAGTACAGACCACGGCACCTAAACTTTGGCAAATGGAAATGTGAGCAGCTTTTCATGTGCACTTGGGGAGAGGTGCTTATTCACTACTTCCTCAAAAATGGCTTTTGTCACTGTCAAAATTCTGCCTAATTTGCAAGCAAGCAACCACTACTGCAGTACACAAAAAATATGTATTCAGAAAATTGTAGATTTATGGAACAGGATCTTCAAAAGGCAAGGGCTATAACGCCATTATTTTTATGCTTATATAGCCTTTCTTAAATCTTCCCTATAAGCTTAGGAAAAGTTTTTAGGCTTATCTAGAGATGTTTGGAAAGAACGAAAGTAATCTGCAGTTAACAGATAAGGTTTTAAAAATCACTGCCTATCTACAGGATTGTTAAATGACCTGTATCTAGCAAGCAAGGAATGTGGATTAAAGAGGAGTACAGGAAAGACTAAGCTGACATACTGTTTCAGTTCAAGGGAGAAAATATGTTGGTAAATGGCAAGTATGAAAGATCTGAAGAATATATTTATCTGTGGCGGCTTTTTTATTTGGAGGATTACGGTCATGAGCAGAAGATTAAGAAGAAAGTCGTCTTTACGTGTAGAGGAATGTAAGAAGCTGGACGTGGGTAAGAAAAGCAACCTACCAAACATGCTTGGTGAGCAAAACATTCAATCATTGTATACATCCTGCCAAGGTACAGAGTAGATGGCTCAGCAACAACCAGAAAATGTGAAGCTAGGATTGAGATTAGCCCTGCAGTGCTGGGAACACATTTGTGTTTGCCGTGTGTGGTGACAAGTGAGCCTTTTTGGTCCGCTGTCACGTCTCTTCAAGTCTTAATGAAGTGGTAACATATGCTCTGATGGCATCTGGCTAATTAAACATGTTATGAGATGGAGCCCTCAAAACATGAAATTAAACAAACTTTATGAAAAGTACATTGAAAATCCCTGTACGGGACACATCTGAATATATTCCCTGTACTGTAAGCAGAATAAAATAATTTCTGCTTTTAATAGATTCAATCAGCTCTGCTGGGGTACCTCAATAACAAACTGCAGCAACACCAGAAATGCTGTAGCATTGTTAGACTTAAACCTAGCATTAGTCGTCACGTTTTGTCCTGAGATGATCCTTAAAACTTAATTTGCATGCTGTTTTGTTAACTAACAAAATAATCTTTAAAATAAATCTATTTTAAAAGCCTTACCAGTCACAGATGCTTTAAAATGTTTAATTTAGGGGAACGTATTGAGGCAGAGAAGAGAGGACCCACCATGCTGAGAAAGCACCAGAGTTACTGGAGCGAGCGAGCCAGGTAATCCCTGAGAGGATGGTGGGTATCGCTGGATGCAGGGCTGCCTGCACTCCTTGCTTTACATTGCTTTACCCAATTTTCCACATCAGCCAGACAGCATTTCTATTGTTCCAGAGCAGGGCGGGCAGTTGCCGTGCCAGCAGGCTGTTGCTGAGGCATTAGTCCCTGTGGCAATGGAAGCGGGGCCGCGCCGGCAGAGCCATGGCAGCGCCTTACCTGGTTCTTCGGGGCGACGATGTGCCAGGAGCAGGTGACTCCCGCTGGGTAGTCTCGCTCTGGCCAGTTGGGCGTTTGGAAGGACCCCGAGGGCTTCTCCAGTCGTCCCCCGCAGTACTGATCCCCTGCAAGTACAGCATGCCGTGCTGACCAGAGGGCACAAGGGAGGGAGGCAGGTAACCCATCTCATGGCCTTGCTTTTCTGCAGGGGCCTCGGTGAGGAAGACACGGCCAGTCCCAGGTGGTTCTGGCCACCTCTGCCATGGCCCGGGACATGGCTGAGCCCTTTAACTCAGCTGGTGGCACCTCTGGGAAAACGTATTCCCAGAGAAAAATACCAGATGTAAAGGAAGAAAGGGGTAAAAAAGAGTGAGAAGCACTCCTGCAAACACCAGGGTTGGAGGAGGAGGAGCTGCAGGATCCCTGCAGGCCGTGAGGAGATGTGCCGGGGCTGAACAGCATTCCTGAAGGAACTGCGGCCTGTGGAAAGCCCACAATGGAGAGGGTTTTTTTCCTCCATATTTCCTCCTCCCAGTTCCAAATTACAAATATACATCAGGTATGTAATCCTTATTTATAATATGATTATGAACCTTCCTTATTAAATTAACTCTGTCACATCATAGATGTTTAATGTATGTTTCCAGAAGTTATTAGTACAACTGAAAGGACTAATGAACTACTCATCACCTGCACTGCCTCTGCCCAACAGCCTGTCTAGTCTGGTATCATGCTGACAGCAAAAGCCTTGAAAAAGAGTCCCTCAGCAGGGCAAAACCACCTCCCTGTAACCTCCCAGCCTCTCGCAGCTCATGGCCTTCCCAAGCACAAGACAATGCCTTTATGTTTAATAATACCTAACAAATTTTTCTTTCATCTCTTTTTCTAATTGGTTATAAACCAGTGTAGAAATTGACAATCCACAACGTCCCCTGGCACAGCACTCCAGCACTTAACAGCTCACAGAGAAAAATCACCCCCTCCTTTCCTTTGCAGCCACTTGCTCATCTGGGTTTTGTATGAGAAGAGGCAGTGACCGTGGTCCCTGTTCACTTCCTCTGTACTGGTCGTGACCTCAGAGCCCTTCTCCTACACTCCCCTTGACCTTCCCTTTTCCAGCACGAAGAGGTCCATGCTGTGCAGCTGGTCTTTGTGTAGAACATGTTCCTCAACTCTATCATACTTGTTGTCTTTGACTGCTTCTGATAGTTTTATTATATCCTGTCCTGAGATGGGAACATCAGAATGGCATACAGTATTCATTCAGCATTATAGACTTGTAGTGGCATAATTTTTTTTTGGTTTTGTTTGGTCTTTATTCCCTTTTCAAAAAATTGTTATGTTTGTTTCTTTTTTGATACCTATTGATCACTGGATTGATCCTCAACTACTGTTTTCATAAATTACCTGTTTTAAATGTAAGATCTCATTCCTAAATGGTAATAGTCAATTCAGAGCCTATTGTACTATGCATAAAGTTAGGCTGTTTACCCCTTACTTGCAACATTTTCAATGCGGAATTTCATCTGCCATTTTATTGACTATCCATTATATTGCTACAAGGTGCAGTTCTTACACAACTCTTACAATAGTTAGCCCTCCTCTTTAGTACTTTGATTAACTGCAATGGCTAAACAGTTAAACTTTGCTATTTGCTAAGCAAGATAATTAATGAATATGTTGAACAGCACAATCCCTAATATCTCTGGCATCACATCTTTTTAAGCACTAATGTGACTCTCCATAGGGTTGTACAGGTGTATTTGTCTTCAGGACATACATAATTGTTAATTACCTCTTTCATGTGGTTCTGCTGCAGAAAACTTTGCAATGAATCCACTTCCAGCAGTATTAGCATCTGAAGTCATCTGCACCAACATTTTATTGCTGTTGGATACAAGGGCACCTGGTTTCACCGTACCACAGAACCTGCCGATGCGTTGTCCATTGGCATGGCCGTTGTATATATCCACAAAATCATATCGGCACAAGTTGTCACTTTCCAGGTCTAGATATCTAAAAGAAAGAACCACCACTTTTCCTTCTGGGACCTGCAGAGAGAGAGGGAAGGAAAGCAGGAGAGATATAGCTTGAAGCGTGACTGACACCGCGGATCTATCTGACCTCACTATTTGCATGAGTATTTGCATATCCTCCACTTCTCACCAGGTAAGCTCTATATGTCAACTATACTCCAGGCAGAGTGGTTTTTAAAATCATATTGGACCAATGATAAAAACAAAGCTCTGGCCACCTCTGTGGCCTTTATCTTCTTCCTGATCCCAGTATCATCCAGCCAGGCTCATACAGTTGATTATATACCATCACCATCCAGTTCAGCTTGGCGTTTCTCTTATTTTCTGCTGAAAGTATGCAATCAGCCATGCAGCTCCCTGCCACCAAGTAAGGTGAGGAGGATGAGATTAATAAAAAAAAAAAAAAAAGGAAAAAGAAATTTACAGTTTTGAGCAACTGAAATGGCCTCTTTCACTAGATATGTAGTTATTAAGGGGGAAAAAAAAAAGAAAAAAAAAGAAAAAAAAAAAAAAAAAAAGGAACAAGCAATTTACAGTTTTGAGCAACTGAAATGGCCTCTCTTGCTGCTTTGTGTCGTAAAGTTTCATTGTTTGAAGGATTTTTTAAATTTTTATTTACTGACACACAACTTACATTTATAAACCATTAGTCTTCTCAATACAGAAAAGAGTTTTGGTTTCTGAAACATCTGAGGAAACATAAGACAGGGCAAATCTTCTTACATGTCTGCATCTGTGGACATTGCGAAAGAGGCAAGAGTACTTAGAAGGATGTAAATGAAGAAAGCATAATAGTTTACAAGGATAGAGTTGCAAGCTTTTAAGAGAATAAGCAGCATACTGAGAAGTGAAAAACCATTCTAACAAAGCACTCAATGCTATTTAACAGGACAGGAACACAGAAAACAGTATTTTAAAGCATAGAGGGACCCTAGACAGGCAGAGTGTAATTATCTGTGTTCAATTCGTAGCCTGTTAGAGTGGTTACCTACTAAAATAATTGCAGCTGTTCTATTTTACTGAGACACTCCTATTGTTTTCTGCTTTAAATATATAACTCATACTTAATATATCTGCAGTAAGTCCATATTCAAGCCACTTTATTTAAAAGTTTATGAATTTTTTTCCTTCCTTAATAGTGACTCATTTTAAACACCAGTTTGAGAGAAAATAAACTAAACTGTTTTTATATGAAATTGTCAAACAGTGTTTGAATTCTGTGAGTTTCAACAGCTAAAAATGCCTTGTCAGATATAGATAGAAGTGCTACAGATGGAAGTGACCACTTAACCCACTAATACAGGCAGCAGATCTAGATGTAGTGAAAAATGTGCTGTTGATATGTTAAGGTTACTCATTCTTGCGACTGCTTTTATGTTCAGGGCTGATACTGATCCTGCAGCAGGTCAGACTTTTGCATGAGCTGTTTTCAACTGCCCAGGGCCCACGTACACCCTGGTTGACCAGCCCTGCTGCAGTTCCTGTCGCTGCTTTCATAGTATTTTCCTTTAATCCTTGTTCAAAGTTCTCTCAAAAATACATTCAGTTCCCTGTGCTGACGTACATCACTACTACTACTACATCAAAACCACAAAACTCATTTAATCTTACCCAGAAATTCCAAAGCACAATGACTATGTTTTAGAAAACTTCAAAACCAGATGTTAGTTTTAAAACTCACGCTATGGAAGGGAGCGAGCCCTATAGCTGGTATCAGAAAAGAACCCACGTGTGCATTTAGTCAGCATAACGCCAGTACAGATGCACGGTCATATTGTAAGGTACCCCATGAAAGCAATATGACTTCTTGACTGCTCTCATAACTAATTGTCTTCTGCTCTGAGTCACTAAGAAGCATTAAGACATGGTCATTTTAACAGAAAAAGAGCTAAAAAGGAATTTGGTATTCCTGTCAGAAGATCTGAATGTTATTTATGGTGATTCTACAAACCCTATGTGACTGGACAAATGAGTTCAAAAACGCTGGTTGTAAAGTTAGTCAGATAAAATCAGATTTAGGCAGTTAAATTTAAGCAGCCTTTTTTCTACCAGTATTTATGTAAAATAGTATATGCTCTTTTGGGATGGAACGCTCATTACTCATTAGTTTGTACAACTGGTACAAGATCCAAATGAGGTGACCTTTAAAGGTTATCATGTTTTAAAACAGACTGAGTTGTCATGCCTACAGTTAAGATTGTCCAACATTTTCCACTACAGTGTGTTGCAGCTTTGCTACTACTTACCCATCATAAAGAATTTTCCCCTTTCTCTTCCACTGTTTCTGAAAGTTGAGCACAAGCTGCTCTATTACATTTGATTAAATAGTTTTGTCAGTGCTTATGAGATTTTTCCCTACTTTCTCAGCTTGAATTGCTTTTTTGAAGACACCTACTCCCTCCCAGAGTTTGAAGAAGGAAGTTGAAATGTGAGAAGTCGCTGGTTCTGGGGTAAGAAAAGGTCTTTTTGCTGTCCTTGTCGCGATGCATTCAGATTTAGCCAAGTGGTTATCCCTGAGTGATGCTGGTGGGTGCTCACTGACAGCTCTGTCCCACGAGCACAATAAACCAGGGCTGCTGTGCTCACGCCAGCCTCGAGCACTCAGTCCTACCCCCAGGGATCCCACTCTCTCGTGCTGTGCCACGCGGGCCACCGGGAACCCGGACCCGGGACTGACCCGCGCTCAAGAGGAGGGGTCGCTGGCAAAGCAGTCAAACTCCCAACTGCCAGCCAACCATTCACTCAGTCTTGGGTTTTCTGTTTCATGGCATAAGTAACCCTGTGCAGTGTTGTATGCTTCCTTCTCCTCTCTCCACTGCTGACTATGTTATACTATACCCCATTTCATTATCTAATTATATTTCATTATAGTTTTTAATATCTCTAGCTTCTGTTAGTTCCGTCTGCTTGATCTTAGTCAAGACTGTTCCCCACAGATGGACTCAGTTTCCAAGTTTTTGTTTCCTGACAGTGTGTAAGCAAATGTGTAGGAAAAACTCAGCCCCCTGGTCATGAATGTTTACAAGGAGCCTACTCCAGATTTTAGTTGTCAGAATAATCCTGGCTCATATTTAGCTGAATTTGGGGAGATAAGTCATTTACAGAAATGTGTGAAGGGACCCTTAATCACAGTCCGTACTTACTGCCATTACTTTATAAAGTAATGTCATTGCTTATTCAAATAAACTTTTTCATCATTCACAAAAATTTCAAATTTGTACTAGCATGTTAAGCTAGTTAGTTAAAAGTTTGTAGTCTGAGCAGATGACATTAAAGAGTGCAGAGGATGGCGACTCCACAGCTGCTCCAGTTTGCAGCTACTCCCAAGGAATCCCACCCTAAACCCAGGCATCTTCACAAAACAATGCTTTTATTTAATTTCTACCATTTCCCTTTTTTAAATGTTGAAAACTAATATGCTAAAACCTGCCAATGTTTATCCTAGGACATTTAAAATATTGTTCCATGAGACACACAGGGGAAAAAGCAAGGGCCAGCATGACTCAGTATTGTTTAGTTTGAGCCATGTCCGAGTCTGATGCAGTAAGATGATGGGATACCTCAGAGGAAAGACTGGAAGGAATTGCAGCTCTTAAGAAAAAAAAAAAAAGGGGTGGGGGTTGGGGGGAGGAGTCAAAGGAAGAATATGTGATGTTCCCCTGCAGGGTGTGCCTTATTTTTCTGTTTTATCCATCCAGATGGTATCTTTCAAAAAAAGAGGCACTTTAGCTTCTGCCTCTCCTTGTCACACTGAGGGTGACCGACCCAAGCTTACCCTTTACTTCCCTTCTTATTTTAACTCTATGAACTTCTTTAGGATCAGAAATTATGATGCTAAACTCCTGTGAAGTGATGCCTTACTCCTATGGAAGGCTAAAGGGACAGCACTCCCTGAATTTTTAGGGGGAGCTTTCCTAGAGCATAATTCCCTAAAATCATCCATGTAGACTACTACCCTCTTTAAAAGAGCATGATTATTTTATATATACAAGCCACTACAAAATAAGGTCCCTAGATTCTTTTTGGTTACCATTCGTTGCAGGTATTTCATATAATGTTAATCAAAGTTCACTTACATTTAAAGTAGTTAAGCTGTTTTTCTGTGGTTGTTCTGTCTGGACACAAAGCCCTCTTCATCGTTGTGCCTCTCTCAGTTTCTGGGGAGGATTCCCAAACTGTCACACTTTTCAAAATTACTTGGTTTAGATTATTTGCTTTGAAAATAATCTTTTTTTGGTGAGGAAAACTCTTAAGTGCCAACTTTCTGAGAAGATATTTTGCATAATTTTTAAATCTATATTGTATATAGGTTTAATATATTTTGGTATATGTTTAATACAAAAATGCTGATTATATGTTTTGCCATAGCAGGCCTAGGTAGACTTCAAAAATACATCAGCTACCTTCAAGCCAAACATACTATCTCTCTCTACTCAGAATGAATGTGAAAGTTACTTGGAGTTACATCCTGGGAAGAACCACAGTTCCTGCCCAGTCACTTGTTCCCCAGCTCCATCCTCTCCAGCCACAAAGGAACAATTTTTAAAAAAATTTGTATTACCTTGCTCTCCCTGACAAAGGCACTAGATTCTGTTCAGCTATTTCTTTTCTGGTAATACAACCATGTGCAAAAATCTGTTCTTCACTGGAAGGGCCGTTTCACAATGATGTAGGAAAATGAATGCTTAAAATGTAGAGAAAATGATTTAAAATATCCCACTCCCCCAGGACAGATTCACAACTCCCCTGATAAGTCAATTTTTCAAACCTTGCTTATTGTCAGCAAACCTGCCAGAACATGGCTCCTGAACCTATAAAAATATAACCTTACATAACTCTGACAGTCTTCAGTATTATTGTTGCACATAAAGTTGTTAGAGTTTTATGGGAACTACACAGTCTGCCAGAAAAACACCGGACAGCAGTCCAGATTCTTGGACTATGTGGCACATTTATGGGAGGTGATGGCCAAGAAGGATTAGAAAGTATTAAAAGTAAATGTATATGACATATTTTAGATAAAGCTATATACATTACTATACGAAAGGAAATAGCTGTACAAATGACTTCTTAGCAAAGCCAGCTAAAAGCTGCCGGGTAGTCTGCCAAGGTTGTAATATAACCACAAGCATGTGCTGAACACTTCTTAGAGCTCTTAGAATAGAGAAGCTGTTTTCTTTAGCCAGCTGAAAAAGTCCCAGTCTCTTGAAATAACAGAACTATAATTGAGCTAGAGAGACTCTTCTAGCTTTAGCAAACCAGTTGGAAAGATTTCAGCTGATACCTGAATGCTACATTGCTTTACCTGTATCACCCATGACATTTTCTAAACCTATTTTTTTCTAAATAATGAATTAGCTGTCACTCTGCCTCTCTGTGGATTTCTTCTATGGAGGATGAGATCCTGTAGTTGAGAAAACAACAGCTTCATGCCTCTTGGAATCAATGTGTCTTCCAGCCTAGCAGACTTGTCAGATCCTGCATTAGGCAGAGTGTTTTCACGAAGGTGTTCACAGCCCTTGGCTAAAACGGACAAGCAGTCTTAGTCACCTTCTAAGATCAGATGCTAAATGAGGAAGCCTAACAGTAACTACAGCATATTTTTTCATAGCAGTGTAACTGCTTTTCTTGGGTGCTATCGCAAACTATTCTGAGCCACAGCAGTATCTGGTGAAAGGATTTTCTTGTTTAAATTCATGCTAACCAGGCCCTTTAGTGTACCACTTTCCCTCAGTTTGGTGAATCATTCTCTTTCTAAAGAGGATGCAGGCTTAGTCTTGCAAATTTTGTAGTCCTTGCCTTCCCCACAGCCTTCTTGCACATCCAAAAGATGTTCTATGTAGTTGTTGGGGACAAACATCAGCTTGACACAGTGAACAATATTGTCTAATGGGGGTTAAATGTGGTGGGGGCACAAGAAAGCCTGGACTACTACAGTTGTGCAGCCCTTCTCTGGCTTTGGGCGAGCTAAAGAGAATGAGTATGCAGCAGTTGAAAAGCAGGAGTAAATGGCAGCACAGCAGAAAAGTGGGAATCACAAGGATCATGAAATGCCAGGAGCTGTCGAGTTCCTCCCATTGTCAATACAGCCCAAGTGCAGCCACAGCTCTGCTTTGTGGTGATGCTCCTCACAACGTCCAGGCTAACCAGGATGCTCGTGTCTTGTTGGCAACAGCCATAGTAAGTCTGCAATGAAACCCTCCTGTACGGACTCTTTAAACACAATCAATTGTTCTCTTCTCCCTCTACTCCCAGAGTATGATGAAGGGCAGACCCATGAGATGCTTCAGTAAATGCTTCTTCAGTGCTGCCTCTATTTGTGATCTGAATTTTTTAATCATAAAAACTTTATGCTGTTATAATCAAAATTATTCTTTCGCTTTAGATTCAGTGTTGACCTTTTGAAGATGTACTACTGAGTTATATTGGTAAACTAACTTTGGAGTTTTTTTCCTTTTATTTAAGGCCTGTGTATATGATTCCAAATGCAATTTGCATCTGCTCTTCAGATGTTAAGGTGAGCCACGCTAATTGCTGTAATCTCCGCCCCTCGACAGCAGGAAGCAAGTTTATGAGCATAGGCTGCATTTCACATCATACTCCCCTGGATAAAGTCAGGCACAGATTAAGGGTAACCTCTAGCTTGGCCCTAACAATAACGCAACAGAAAGGTGCAGAAAGCAACTGTTTCAGCTTCACTGGGATCCTTCAGATAAAATGATTAAAATTACATCACTTGTTTGGTACGAGAGTCATTTTAATGGAACACTGTAAACAGATCAATGTCTCCTGCTTTGCGTCAGCATCTCTATAGTAGCAGGAGACAATTATTCTGTGACATCCTATTCTACTGCCAACACCTGAAATGCAGTCTCTGAACTGAAGTTGTCTTTAGTGATCCTGTCAACACACAGACTAATTTATTTTCTTATGCTTTCTTACACTTTTTTTTTTTTTTCCCCTGTAAATCCCATAGTCCAGGCCTGAATGTGACAGGAGTTCTTAGTGAACTGTGCCTAAAAAATGGAGAGGAAATTTGGTGGGAAATTTTGGAGGGCTTCATTTGTGCAGATGTGAGGGAAAGTAATCATTTATTCAAGTGCCTTTCCCTGTGTCCCTGGATAAGGACGCATCCAGCACTGACGTTTTTAGCCCTAGTTGTTTAATGAATAGGATGTCTCTGCCCTACGGTCTCATTTCAGCATCAAAATATCAATCGTACCACATGCTTTTGCGCAGTCATTTATAAATGTAACAACACTTTCCTATTGCTTTCTCAGCCTGCTGTATGACGTACTCCAGATGTCCTGGCTGGCACAACACTGTTATTAGCACACCACAAGCAAACCTGTCTGAATTTTTTGGTTTTGCTTGAAACTTTTTCTATGTCTCCTTGCCAATGAATTTTGCTTTTCATTATCTACACTTTAAAGCTTTACTTTAAATCCATTTGATCTAACTAGCTGTTGCTTTCTGCAGTGACTGAAAGGGTAAATGTCTGCTTTCAAGTGGGTTAATTTAAAACAATTAGAGGTGTATCTATGGAAGCCAATGAAAATTTGCTTCTGACATTAGGCAAGGTCAGCTCTATTTCAGCCACTATTATCGTATTACAGAAACCCTAAAAAGTTCCAGATAGTTGAGCTGCTCTGAGTTACTGAGTTCATTGTTGCACATATATTATCCCATAGAAAACACTGGCATTAACAACAAACAGCTCTTCATTGTCTGCAGCACTGATTTTGTGATATTAAAAATTCTTACTGTGATTTTCCAAGTACATTTGCTGTTTGGAGGGTAGACTCCGGGAAATCCTTCACTCCCAATAAACCCTGACTCTCCAGATACAACTCCTCCACATGCAAATGTAGGCCTGAGAATAATAGGAAAAATAGTGCTTAATTTTAAAATATATTTCATTTATTCTTTATATAATAGTAAAGAGGGACAGACCGTTTTATACTTAAAAACACAACTTAGATACTTAAAAACATTGCTAACTTTAAGCATTTGTTTCATTACTTACATAATTTCATTACTGACACCAAATATACAGTTTAACACGCAAACGTAGATGCAGAGAAAGTTAACTACTTGGATCTTAAATCTGGGTTTACAGACTGTTATCCTTCCTTCCTTTTTTAAGTGTGGTGGTGTGATACATCATTGCAAAATGCTATTATAATGAAAAAAATTATTAAGAAGTCATTAGTAATGACTTTTTTATAGCCTATATAATAATTGTTATAATAGCACATTAATAAAAATAACTTTTAATTCCTTTCTGTGCTTTGAATTTTAGGTATTTTAACCAAGTAAGTCGCTGTGGAAGTTTTCTACAGCACAGGAATGTAATCCACTATGTGTGGGAGAAGTCTTGCTACTCTGGTGATGAAATGCCCATCCTGATTTTACTGGTGTGAGAACACGGAGGGCTGAAAAATGTCAGGTGTCCATTCCCTGCCCCGGGCTGCGCTGAGGGGAGCCCTGGAAAACCCCTGAGCAGAACCAGGGCCTTACTCCAGAGGGTGAGGGAACGCTCTGCTGAGCTTTACATACTGGAGTTATAGATCTTATCTTACTGTTTATTATATTAACATTGATAGAATCATAGGATGGTTTGGGTTGGAAGGGGCCTTAAAATCATCTAGTTCCAACCCCCCTGCCACAGGCAGGGAATCCCCTACCATGAGGTGAGAGGAATTGTACTATTATATTATATTATATTATATTATATTATATTATATTATATTA